GAATTTGTTTTCTCATAAAAAGAAAAATATTTTTAATTTATTAAAAAAGAAAAAATTAATATATTTAGATATAATAAAATCTATAGTATTGATAGACGTCAAACCAGACTTAATTGTCTTATAACCCCATCTATTAGGAAAATAAAAATTATGCTAAAAGTACAAGAAAACTTTTGTATTATCAAAATACAAAGAATACCTTTTAGAGAATAAGACCTCTTAAGAATGTAATAAAGAAGGAAACACTATTTTGAGGAAATATTCTTACTTTTAGAAAATTTAGATGGAAGGACACGCCATAAACGAAAATTGTGGTTAATAAACTACATAGAAAGATGTTATTAAATACTGTGAAAGCCGTTGGTTTTAAAGTATTACACAATAAGAAAAATAAATTAGGTTTACCTAATCACAGAAACAAAGAGATGAAAGAAAAAATAAAACTCTTAAATTTTAATATAAACCATCTCTCCAACAAAAGAGAAGAACTCGAGATTCTCTTGAAGAAGAAAAAACCAAAAATTATGTGCCTTCAGGAGACATGGAGACAATCTGTATTCCCCTCAAGGCTCAAAAAATATACTGCTGTAGAAACTACTAGTAGTGGAAAAAATAAACCAGGATTAATCACTCTGGTTAAAAAAATTGGAGCTATTAGATGCTCCAAGAAAGGGACCGACTCAAACATACTGCAAACTGTGGTTGAGTTTTGGCCAGTAGGCAAATGGATTAAGTACTTAATCATCAATATTTAAATATCACAAGACGGGGATCTTAAGAAAGAGATCCTTGCTAGACTACTATCTCTTCTGTCATAAGAGAAATTAAAAAATCACTATTGTGAGATCATAGTGATGGGAAACATGAAATGCAAGATTCATCTTTCAAAAAAAAATAAGATGCAGTTGGTCTACCAACTGTTCTAAAATACAATGGCCACAAAGGAACTAGAATCCTTAAAGATGGTAAGCGATCTAAAAGAAGGATAGACACGATTTTTAGATTGTTAGAAAATTTTAATGATAACATTATTATATCAAAATCTTAAGCACTAAGTGATCACTTGGTTCTCAAAAGAAAACTAAAACTTACTGTTGATAAGATCTCTGAACAGTTTGTTTATGACAAAAAGATGCTTAGAAATTACAAAGTGGTTAACAAGCGAAGAAGAAAGCTGAGTAATCAGCAACTACAAATGGGATAATCACACTGAGGTGATAAAACAACGTCTAGCAGCAAAAACTGTTATAAAGAACTATAATGAGATTAATTCAACAAAGTTTGAGTACTTCAAAGAAAAAGCAGGAGAAACTAAGAAATAAATTCGGAAAGACAGATTGAAACTCTTGGCTTTGAGAGACTTCAAACTCTTTAAGAGTAATTGATCAAGAGAGTTCTGACAATGGCTGAAAAATAGTAGACCTGGATCTTTTAGATTAGATCAGGTATCTCTTAAAGTTTACAACGGACTACACAGATATGTCGAGATAAAAAGCTATAAATAGCAAACAATTTTTATACTACTCTAGTATCAGAAAACAATGTGGACTTAAACATCTACAGCAAGATAAATCTTACTGATCCCCCACCAGAGATCTCAGAAGAAAAATTTTTATCTTCATTAAAGAAATGTGAAAACAACAAAGCTGCTGGGCCGGATGAAATATTCACATAGCAATACAAACATCTATTTATATATGAAGTAAAAATCAATTATTTTAAATTCATGTTTTGTGAGTTTAATAAGTACATTAATGAAAATAGTACTCCAGAATATTAGAGCACGGCTAACATTGTATGTCTCCATAAGAAAGGCGATAAGGGGGATTTGAATAATTATAGAGGCATCTCTTTGATTAATATTATTAACAAAATCTATCTCAAGATAATCAATAACAGATTGACTTAATTTGTGGAAGAAAGTGAGATCATCTCTAGGTGAAATTTAAACACAGTCTCACAGGGATTAAAAAAATAGAACGATATTATTTTGTTGAATGTAATTGCAAAACTCGTTGAACTTTTTTCTTGTAAAAATTTTCTTCGAAACTAAAATTCATAAATAAAATCTTTAAGGCTTACTGTAATGAACCAACTGCATCATGTAAATTATTTATTTAATAATTACAGTGTTTTTGTCCAAACAAACCACTAAAACGATTTTATCCTACTTTACTATGTTAACACGCTCTAGTACTTTTTGTCTTTCTTTTATTTTACTAATTTATTTGTTTAATCAACTATAAAAACTATATAAAATAATTGCTGCTTTGAGGGGATCGAGAATGAAAGCTAATAAACAGCTTAATAAATTTACACCGCGTTATTCTTATTTTGCAAAACATAGTATTTACTTTCATAACTCCATGTCTTGTACGCAACTTAGTCTTTAAATGGCTCTATAAATTTTCAATTTTATTCGTATGTTCACCATTTCATTTGTAAATCCAATATTATGATTTGCTATTTATTAAACAACCAAAATCTACAACTGCTGATCTATACGACGAAAAGCTATCTGCTCTTACAATAGTTTTATTTCAACATAAATATTAAAAAGATTCATCATTACATTAGCCGAGCTGTTAGGAAAAATTTTAAAAAGGCAATCATCGCTTTTTTTTCAATTCCTCCCACTAACCATGTTGTACGTGCAACTGTATCTTGTGTTAAAGTAAAATTGGTGATTATTTTACTCCTACAGATTGCAGTTTCATCAATTTGAATAATTTTATTGGGTCTGCCTATTCTAGAAAAAAATTTCAATTTCATTTTTTCTAAAATAACATCCTTGTAAGAAATACAAGCGGGCTCAAAAATTTCGCATATAATAGCATTACTTATTCCAAGATCCAACAACAAACTATGCTGTGCCGAGTATGCAGAGGTAGCCTCGATTTATTGAACATTGTGCTCGTCTTTATCCCTTTTCGCTTCTTGCATTTATTAGCACAATAGAAGCATTTACCTTCTGCATATTTCTTGTTTTCTGCATGTTGCATAAATCCATCACAATCGCACTTGATTGTTCGCAGAAAAACATTGGCTGTGGTTAGGTAATTATTGCACTTTTCATATTTTGAAAGATTGAATCGTACAAATTCTTAATCATCTCTAGGGGTAAAAAATTAAAAAAATCAAAAATCGCTTTCCTTAAAATACACTGCCATGCTGAATAAATTATATAGTGTGAACGGGAGAAAATGTTTTTTTAATTTTTTTACCCCTGTGGGACTGTGTTTAAGTAGCACCGAATAATGAATTCAATAGAGGGAATATCCAAGAATTTTATACACGAGTTTGGCAGTCCCAGCTGTGGTATTAATTCCACATGAAATATTTTCTATTTTCTGAATTTTCTCGAAGAAATGTTAGTATAAAAATATTTTATGAAAAGAAGGGCATTGCTGTCATGAATAACTCACATAATCATCAACAGCAAGAGAATCATAAGATCAACGGGGGATCTCACAAGAGACAATTTTCCATGAAGTTAATAAACCAATTAAGTTACGCCAATTTAGTTTGGCTTCAGGAGCGAGCATTGTGGAGGACTTTTTTAGTTCTGGTCGCCTTCCTGCGTTTCTCGCCACACCAGCCCAAAAACGTAAATTAGAAACCTTAATTTTTTCAACAAGGTAACGAATTTAAGAATACAAGCAAGTAATTATGCTAATGTTTAATATATAGAAAAATTAACCTTATGATCGGGTAGCATAATTGCCGGATTTGAATCCTATCAAAAATTTGAGTTAAATGTTTATGAGCAGTGTGGCTACAAGGAGGTCAAATATTAACTAGAGCAATTTACTTTAAAGAATTGAATAAAGTTGATAAAGAAACATGCAAAAAATCGGTTCAAAGCATCTAATGAGTATTGTAAGGCTATAATTGATGAAAAGGGGGACATACCAAATATAAAAATATTTACTGCGTTTTTTTGTCAGGATTTTTTAATAAAAAGTTTTATAAGGCTTTTATAATGCAAATTTTAAATTTATATGATCTAAAGCTAAAAGTGCAAATAAAATATGTGTTATTAATTTTATGCTATCTGAAAAATAATTATTTATTTCAATTTAAACTTTTTTAAAATCCACTACTTTATAAATTTTTAAAAGCATAAAAATTTAAGCCCATTTTATGAAAATAAATACAAAAGATTATTTTATACCTAAAATAAAAAGTATTACTGATGATACTGTTATTTATGAAGAAGTATTAGATCCATTATCAGATGCTTGGAATAATTTGTGTAGATTACAAACTATTGAAGATGAGAATAAAGATATAATATTAAATATAAATTTCAGTAAAGTAGAAGCAGATACACTTTTACAAACCTATGAATTAGTTAATAAAGGTATTATTAAACAGAATGAAGTGAAAAATACAAAAGAAGAAAAAGTAAATATTAATATTATAAGGCCGTGTATAGAATACTTTGCAAAATGTATAGACATTTTTAATTCTAAAAAAGATCCAAATTCTAACCTTATTGAATATTATATTTATATTAAATTTAAAAATATAGAATACATAGAAATAAGAAGATTAAATAATCCAATTAAAGAACAAGAAGTTACTGTAGAAAATTATACTATAAAAATAAAAAAAGGAACTTATAATAAGATTTCTAATACAATACATGATACTATTAATTTACAAAGATTAACAGACTTTATATTGAAATTTAATATAAATATTAAAAGAAATATAAAATATATAAATTTATATATATCCAAGTTATATATATTAAAATATAGTGATAAAAGTTCTGGACTTGTAAATTATGGAAATATATTAGAAGATGGATATGGGGAGATATTATATATAGTAACAGATGATATCTATAAAATAAAAAGAGATACTTATTCTTTTTCTGTTTACAAGAATGAGAGAGTGATATTATAAAAACTTACAGAGGATTTCTATTTATTAAATATTTATAAAATTATTCCCTTATAAATGTACACTGAATTGATCATATTTTTAAAAAATATTGATAGTGAAATGAAAGAAAAAGATGCTAATATTTTTAAATTGCATTATAAAAGAAATAGATATATTTATGAAATGTTAAAAGATAGATCCTTAGATAAAGATACTTATAAAAAATTGATAAAGTATAACTTGGCTGATGCAACTTTAATCAATTTTTGGAATACTCCTGGATATGAAAAACTATGTTGTATAAGATGTATACAAACACTAGATCATAAAAATAGTACAGTTTGTAAGTGTAGGGTGCCTATAGAAAAGGAATGTGAAAAATTTTATTGTGCCAATTGTAATTGTGAAGGATGTGGAAGTTATTAATAATTTATTTTGATAACTTATTTGTAATTATCTACAAAAAACGACAAAGTTACACTTTTTTATAAAAAATATTGAGATATGTTGTAACAGATTATTTTTTATAATCTTTAGTTCTTTTACTTAAACTTGCAAGGTACTGTTATAATGTGAAATATTTGAAGTGTATGAACTGATTTGGTAGCTTGTAAAATTTAAAAAAATGAAAAATACATTTATGATAAACATTAATACTTATTGTTTTTAAATTAAGTTGCTATTTATTTATTAATATTTAATGCACAGTGATTTTAATAAATAAAAAAATAATAATATAAATATTTAAAATGCATACCTGATAAAGACTAATATTGAATTAAGTTATGGGTAGTGCTTGCAATTTTATTATACTTAATACACATCTATTTTTTTAAATTATATAATAATAATATTTTGTTTGTAAACATATTTTGCACAATTTATTTGTAAATAAACAAAATGATAATAAATAGAACATGTGAATACAAAAGAATAAATACTTTACCCATACGAAAAGGAGGGATAGATGTATTTCACATTCGTACATTTTTAGATGAAATATATAAATCTATTAAACTTTTACATATTAAACAGGAAAAACTTAAGCTTCCGTCTTTTGAATCAAAAAGCAAAAAAAGACTAGAAATCCGTAAAATGAATGATCTTATAACTTCAAGATTTAAAGAAGTAGAATCTCTTATTTCTGAAATAAACACAGATGATACAGATTTGAACAAATACATTATTAATTATTTTAATACTAAATTAAAAACCATTTTATTGGAATATAAAAAAACACAGCAAAAATTTTTAGAGGACAGCGTAATTGACATTATTCCTGAAAAAAATTTTGAACAAGAAACAGAATATATGGCAGATAATGTAGAAAATGTACTAGACATTCAAAAAAATATTTATGAAATCACTAATTATATTTTAGAAATGAAAATGCTTATACACTTAGGATCTAATAGTATAGACAGACTCGATTTAATTTTTGAGACTACATGTGCGAATCTAGATAAAGTAAATAATGAGTTAAATATTTTAGAGAAAAATTATAAAGGGATGAAGGATAAAATAATGTATTTATTAGGTATAATAGTACTATTATTAATTATCTTAAGTATTATAAAAGTGGAATTAAGAAGAAAAGTAATAAATTAATTTTCTATTTAAACTATATAAGACCTGTTATTAATTTTGACTTTTTTTACAGTAAATATACCAAATAAAGATATTTATACGCTTTGTAAAAAATGTTGTTAAACATTTTTAGACAATTTCACATAAAGTTACAATGTAATTACTATATTGTCATATATACATTAGATATTTATTTAACCTATGTCTTATAAACAACTTTTAATTTTTGATATTTTCACCCATGCAAAATATAACTCGAATAAAAAAATTACCATTACCGAATTTTTATACTTCGCTTCTTAAATACAAATTTAACTATGACGAATTCGTTAAATTATTTAACGACCGGCTTAAAATTCTAAAAGATGTAAAAAATAAAAATCATTGCACCGATAAAATGTTTACTGTAGATGATGATTCTTCTCATTTTATTACACGTTTAATAGTAGTAGGTGACAGTAAAGCCACAAGATGGTTTATAAATTGTGAAACAAGTCTTTTTAGATATCGAATAAAAAACAGGGAATATGACTATAACTTTAAAATTTGTTTACCATCTTGTAGTAATAGTCTAAAAATTGATCCATTGTTTTCTACTAGTACAAATTATGACATTAGTTTTAGCGATAAGCATTTCACAAATCGTGAAGATTTGAGAACAGAAAGTAATTTTTTACACGTTAAAAAATCGAAACAAGATGATAAATTATTGGTACATTTTAGCAGGGTAAGTCAATTACTGGCCAATAGAAGCATTATTCCTATGAAGGGTTATACGACATTAGATATTAAACAAAGAGATGTATTGATAGTTAGCTATTTCAAGCATGAGCTTGAAATAAAAATGCAAAGATTGAAAAATTTGTATCAAAATGAACCAGATGAAAGATTAGATAAATTACGAAACTTAATTTATATTAATGAACCCACTAAATTTACTGATAAATCTAGTTGTATAGAACACGAAAAGTTCTTTCCACCATGTATTACTAAAATGTTACATCTTTTACGAATAAATAGGCATTTACGAAATAATGACAGACAAGCCTTATCTTTATTTCTTAAAGATATAAATGTGCCACTAGAAGAAACTATTGAAATATTTCGAAATGGATTTAATGTCACTAGAGATATATTTGATAAAACTTATTTATATAATATTAGACATGCTTATGGATTAGAAGGTAAAAAAGCTAATTACGCGGCGTATAATTGCGCAAAAATGGCGTCTTTAAAAAATAGTCAAAATAAAAGTATGTGTCCTTTTTTGGACGATAAAGAATTTATTAGCTCTAAGTATAAATTTGATATAGAAGAAGTTTTTATAAAGACCAAGTGTACAGAAAGATGTACTAAAATACTTGAATTTAGCATCAATAGCCATGTTGATAGTGTTATTAATACACCTTTACAATATTTTATTACGTCAAAAAATAAAAAAAAAATTAACCAATCACATTAAGACATTTGTAAAAAATTTATAATTTAGAATTATATAACTTGTCAAATAATCGCAAAATATTTCTAAATAAACTTGAAATTTTTGTTTTTTTTTACATCTACAGGATACTTTTATATTTTTAAGAAATTTTATAATTTTTAAAAATCAAACTTTATGGTAATTTTCTATAAATATATTTTTTTCTTGCCCCTTTTTTAATGTTCACTAAATTCGTTGTTATGCTCGCGTTAGTTAGGTCAGATATTTCTAACGAAATGTACATTGCAATCCAAAATCAAAAAATGGGGAGAATAGCAGAAGCCAAAGAATTTTTTGATCTAAATTTCTACAAATACTCAAAAGCCGAGGCATTTATTACTAGGCATATTGAATTTTTGTTGTACATTGGAGATTATGAGGGAATTTTAAAGAAATATGGACATCTAAATTTAGAACTGGTAAGAAAGGCCAATGAATATAATAACGCGGTTATAACTAAAGATTATAGAAAGCTTAGTAATCTTGTAGATATATCGCCTTATAGTGCGGTTGTGCTTAAAGCGTGTATTAAATCGGATCTTATAGACAAAAAATACAATAATGTTTTTAATTACATTAATAAAGCAAAAAGAGTTTTTTCAGATGATGATGATTTTTTACAATACGAAGCGCAATATTATTGTGTTAAAGGAGATTTTTCTACTGGTATTAAAAAATTAGAATCTTTAGGGTATACTAGATTAGCAGGTGATTTACAAGAAATTGTCAACAAGTTTAATAAAATAGATATTAAGCACAATTCTGAGCAGAAATTTGGTGATTGGAAATCTTTGTATCATTTAATTAATACTTTAACATTTTCTGATAATTTTGTGCCTAGTATTTACACTTTTATATTGGATAACGTTTTATATAATTATGTTCAACTCGGGGTTAAGCTTAGGCAATCTGGTATAGCATCAGTTGCGAAAAATTTATACAATAAAAGAAATACTGAAGAAACAAGATATTTTTACATAATGTCTCTAATTACGGACAATCAATTTAGCAAAGCAAAAAGTGAATTGGAGTCTAAAGAGTTTTCTAATAAGACTTATTTTAGCAAAATTCAAGAAAGTATTGATCAACATGAACAATATGCAAAAGAACAAAAAGAACGAGAAAATCGAAGTCGGGAAAGACAACAACAAAGACATGTACCACGTACGGAAAAGGCCGGCAGTGATTTTTTAGGTTATTATAAGTTACTGGGTGTGAATAAAAATATGAATATAAAGGCAATAAAAAAAGCATACGTAAAAATCATAGCAAAAAATGATAGAATGAAAAAAAATGAGAAGCAGAAGGCCGAATGGGAAAAAAAGCATGCTAAGTACAATAAGGCATTACAGGTACTTTCAGATCCTAAGAAGAAAGAAATGTACGATAATGGTATAGATCCCGATTCGCCCGAAGCACAACAGGGAAGATACCAGCATCATGAGCAACAATTTAAAGGATTTGAGGACTTTGGGCCTTTTGCTGAATTTTTTAGTGGATTTGGTGGTGGCAATGGTGGATTTAGGCAAGGTAGACGTACACAATATTTTTATTTTCATTAAATAATATGCTTATGTCTAATATTCCTTTTGTTTTTAATTTAAATAATAAAAAAACGATATTTTTACACCCTTTATGTCTCTGTTAAAAGAACAGGTTAATCTTAAGATTCCTGGTAAAGTTGTTATAAATGGATCATATATAGTATTAGAAGGTGAAATGGCTTCGGTTGTAGTTCTTAATAAATACCTTAATGTAACGATAAATACACAAAATTCAGATAAATTTGATCTAAATTTAAACATTGAGAATGGAGATATGTATTTACATTCTGAAAATGATAAAGGTCACTGGATTTATGAGTTAATTACTACAGCTCTAACATTTATAAATGTAGAAAATTATAATGTTAACATTAATGGGTATTTTGATGATTTCTTTTTTTTAGAAAATGGTGTAAAAACTGGATTGGGTTCGTCTTCTTGCATTTTTATCGCTGTAATATATTCCCTCTATAAAATTGGGAAAATGAAAAAGCCGTTACTTATTGCGCCAAAAGTTGATTTTAAACACAACAAAGAACTTGTCAATCTATTATACACTGTAAGTAAAACATTGTATCCCAGTGCTTCTGGTTGCGACATAATGGCTTCATTTCTTGGTCCTATTAATTTTTCGTTTAATGTAATACAAAAAATTAATCTTATTGCTAGACATATTATTTTAGGTTCGTTTGGAGCATCAACATCGACAAGGAAGATGTTAGATTTAGTTGGTAAAGTTAATTGGACGAGTTTAAAAACTATTAATAAAATTTTAGTTAAAAATTTAAGAAACAAGGAAACCTATAAGAAATATTTAGAAGAAATAAGACATTGTAGTAATATTATTATGCCTGATAGACAATATAAAATATTAAAAAAAACATTTGAGTTAAATATTCTTGGTTGTGGAATATCAGGCGCTGGTGGTGAAGATGCTGTATGGTGTATAACGGATAACGTTGGTCAGGTTAAATATCTTTGGGAACAAGAATTTACTTATGTTTGTTCATGTGAAGTAGTTAATAATGGAATTATAATAAATTAAACTGTAAATGAAATATAACTAATGATTTATTTTGGATTTAAATTAAACTTTTTTCATTTATTTAACAATTAAAAGTATACTTAAATAAAATAAAAACAGCAACAGAAGAAAAACCACCAGGCCACCAAAAACTCCACTGTAAAAACAAAAACATCAATAGTACGCTTACACGCCAGCATACCTTTACGGCCTTGCTTATAGGAGAAAAAAGCGTTCCCTTAGGATACAGAATTCTCGGTCTACTTAAAGACCATCTCTCATCTTAAGTGAGTGCACAGAACAAAATTTAAATTTATTAAAGAAGTTTAAAACTTAAATAAATGATCGAATTTTGTAAAACCATAAAAAAATTTGTTTATTTTCTTACGTTAATATTTTCTTATTTAAATAATTTTTTTCTTTTTTTTAATCACATATTTAAAACCTAGTTGAGTGAGTTGCTCTGATTTCTCTTTGTAAAAGAATAGTGCTGTCATTTACATGTATATCTTTATTGTTTTGTTTATAAAAAATATTGTTTCATATTAAATTTTTATTTTTTTACATAAAAAACACATGGCTTTGGTAGATAAAGATAAAAAATTGCTGAATAAAAAAGATATATTAATTTACCTTATATTTCTTGTAATAGTGTTGGCTGTATTTGCAATATTCAAATATATTAAGCAAAGAATGTTAAGATTTATTAACAGAGACACTAAGAAAATTAAAAAATAATAAACAAAATTTACTTTTATTGTTTTTAAATAAAATATATTTAAAGTTTGTACTAGATTTGTTTACATTTTACAATACACAAATATTGATTTTAAAAATCAAATGTTCTACTTCACTGTAAATAACTTTAAACCTTCCGCTAAAATAATGAAATCTTGTAAATATCTATGTATCCATATTAACTAGCCACTTATTACATCTTAAAATAGTAAAATATTGTATTAAGCATTTTACTTACGAATATTTTATTTGATGATTTTTTTAACGTCTTAAAAAAAATATACATCATTTTAAAAATATTAGAAAAAAGACATAAAATGAATTTACAAAAAACACCTGTAGAAAACAAGTAAATATCAAATAAACTTCAAACTATAGTAAAAACAATGTCATAATTATAATTCTACTTATTCATAAATAAAAAAATATTATTTTTTGTAAAAAATTAAAAATTTAATTCTTTTTCGGGGTAACATATGTACCCATAATTAATGGAAACTCGCGATATTGATAATCACTGTCAACACGCAAAAGTTTTGAAAGACAGTAAAAAAAAGGCCTATTGAAATGCATTCTCATTTTGGATAATTTTCTACAGCCATCTACAAAAACTGTACCTGTCACTGAAACAGCTTTTGTTCCAATTTCATCAATGCTAAAAACCAACCTTTGACTTGTTTTGCGCAAGGATAGCACGTTTGTCTTAGATTCAGATTCTACAGTTGATGCTTCTGTATTTGTTCGGGTAACATCAACTATCTCTTTAAGTAAACCTGTCAACTCAAAATCTTTTTCAATACTAAATTTGGGGATTTTTAAATCAACAAGAAAACGATCCATTTTACTAACTAAACTGCATAAATTGTCATCTTTTGCCAAATACTGTTGAATTTCAGATAACGAAACACCATTTTTTGGTAGTACAGCAATAAATGAACACATAGATTTTTTGTATGACATCTGGATAGCTTGAAATTGTTCATTTTCATAAGCATAGAATTCTTCCTCTTGTTCCATCATATCAACTAAGAAATCGCCATTTTCAGCAGAAAAGTTTTCTTTATCAAAACTAGTAAATTTATTATTCCACTCCTTCTCCAAATATAAAGTATTAATAACTAAACTAGTGCGCAAATCCATCATGTTGTTAATATAGTCAGGAATCATGCCATTGGTTGCCTCTGAGATCAAAGCGTTTATTTCACTCATGCTTTTTGGCAGATCATTAAAGTTAATAGGATGAGATTTTGCATTGAATAAACGAGTAGTTCTACCTCGTGGTGTTGATGACGATTCGCAATTTTTATCATAAAACAAAAAGGTATTTAAACAAGCTTCTTCTACAGCATTTGTTCCAAACGTAGATGATTCTATCCGTTTTGAAAAATCACTTACCATATTTGCAAATTCATTACCATTCGATTCGTATTCAACATTCTTCAATACAACTTTGCTCTCGATTTCAGTTTCACTAACAAGTATTCCTAACAAATGAAGCAATGAAAACGGAGACACAACAATATTAGAATTGTATGAATTGCCTTTTAACATCATTTCAAATACTTTCCATGAAAAATCCGTTGCTGTTTTATAAAGAGCTAGCATAATCTTATGGATACAAAATTTTTTCTTTTTATATATGACTAAATTAAATTAAAAAAATTATTTTTTTGTTTTTGTAACTTATACAATAAAACAAACAATTTTTAAATTAAATGTCAAAAAAATACTTTATAAAAATCAAAGTTTCTTATGAATTTTCTTTGAAAATAAGCAGCTAAAATTTGTGTTTTTATTAAAATCAAAATCTTTAATTTAGATATTTTGTTTCTTTTATAAAAATACTTTTTTGTTTAATTAATTTTTTGAAATTTATAAATTTAATTAGTCTAAATTTTATTTGTAATTAAAATTCTTTTTTTGTGTTAAGCTATTGCATTCAGTATACAAATACATATAAATTTCATTAATTAAGTATGTGGACACTTTACAAAATTTAATTATCTTTATGTTTTTAAATTAAAATTTAATTTCTTATAATTTTCTTAGTACGAAAAAACTGGCTTAAATTAGCTTTGATAGGCCTAACATGCATGGCGCGAATTTTTTTATTTTTTACCCTTGTTTTTTGATTTTTATTTAGAAGTGGGCGCGAAAGTATGTAAATTCAAACAAAAAAGCGCATAGAAAACAGCTATTTAATAAAATATTTGGTGGTGGTTTGGATTTGCTTCTTGAAATCATACATTTAATAATATAAATTAATGCCTGGTCTTTTGTCTTGGTTCTAATGAGCATAATGGCCTTTTAGCGAATTTTAGTTGTCTTCAGTGGTGTTTATATGTACATTAAACATTTTATCATATAAAGTGAGTGATGATATGGTTAACCTTTAGTCGTTTTTAAAGTAAAATTATAAATTATATTTGTGCGACTACATTTCATTAAAATACTTAAGTTGTGGTCAATAATTCTCATCAGTGTCAATTTCCCTTATTATAAGAAAAGTTGATGCTAATTAAATTCTGAAATAAATCAAAAAAGAACTTTTTAACTAAACAAACTTTACAAAGTAATGAATTAACAATATAAATTTTTATTATTTAGAAATGAAAATTAAGAAATATTTTCTCAAAAGGTTAAAAATGTCAATTTTTCGTGCAAAAACAAAACTTGAAGCAGATCAAGTAATTCTTTACAAAAGGTAAATAGTCTTTCATTGTTTCTTTTTTAACTCAAATTGAAACAATTTTTTATAAATTAGATGTCTCAATCCTGTTAAATTTAAATTCCTTTATTCGAGCTGCCTTTATTAAATTAATTTTTGCCGATTGTAGATTTTTTTAAATTTGTTTCAAAAACCTATAAGATTGAGTTTAGAGATATCTTTTATAAGGTTATATATTATTTTATTTTCTTTAAAATATAACCAGCACGTTGGTTTTACAACTTAAAACATTAGAGATAAGAATATTTTTAATAACGAAAATCCATAGATTGATTATTTTTAGAATTAATTTTAGTTAAGATGTATGTTTAAACAAGGTTTTTATTTAAAATAAAAAAATATATTTACATTTCTAGTACTTGCAAAGTAGCAAATTGTCTTCATTTTTTATGATTCTAAAATAAAATTCGGACATTTTAATTCTTTCTTGATCGGTTTTAAATGATATTTAAGACAATATTAATGTCTTCATTTTTAATTATTACTCTCGTAATTTGTACACGAAAACAAAAAAGAATAAATTTTGCAAACTGCATTTTTGGCCTGTAAGAGCTAGTTTTATCTAAGAAATTCATTATGCAGCCAAAAGATAATCAAAAATGTCTTTTTTCAACAGAAACCTCTATAAAAAATAATTTTGGTGTAGGGAACTAAGCATCTTGTAGCTCCGTAGAGATATTGTAGTTTTGGTCTTATAAATAAGTTTGAAATTTATTTGTATAATTATAAAAAACAGGGAACAGTAGTTTTAAGTCTTACAGTGTACCTAAAAAAATTATTCTTTTTTTTTGGGTAAGCATTTTCTATTCTTAGAATAAACAAAAAAATTAACTCAGAGTTTTTTAAAAACAAAGATAAAATTTTTTAAATGGTTTAGATATTAATTTTGAAATAGTCATAAAATATTCAAAAGAACTTAAATGTAAATAATTTATTAACAATATAAATTTATATAACATAACACGTTTATTTTTGTATTTAAACACATTTAAATATTCTTTTTACTAATGTCTTAGGAATTCTGCTAAAATCCAATCTAAAAATATCAATAAGAATATTTTCTAAATACAATAAAGTTTCTAATGATGTAAAACATTTGCTATCAAATAACACCAAGCTAAAAAGTCTAATGAGACCTGTAATAGTCATATGTGTATATTCTTTGTGTTTGTCTATAATCAAAAATAAACTTAAAAGACTTTCTAATAATTTTAATTCATCATGGCTTAAGATAAAAGGCACATAAGAAATTAATATACCATAATTAACTTTGTTATATTTGTAAGATCTTAATAACTTCATGCTTATGCGATTATCAAAAAGACCATCTAAATTGTTAAGTATATATTTTTTTACTAACGTACAAAGCTGTGATAATTTTTTATTTTCAAAATCTGCATCAGAAATATCAAGTCCCTTGTCATCCACTCTAAATAGATTTTTAAGCTCATCAAGATTATCTTTATTAGGCATTTCTAGCAAATGTTTTATTTTATGATTGATTACATCTAATACTTCAAATATTTTAGGATTTATATTTTTGTGGATAATAGTGTAGTTTTTAACTTTAAAACAGTGAAAATATGAATTTGATAATTCAAGCTCAAATTGTTTCTTACAAAAATTTGTAATATATTCTTTGTCTTTTGTAGGAAGTTGTGTGAAATTTGTAGAATTATCTACATTATCCAGTTTATAATTTTTAATAACATCACTACGATAAATATTTATATCTCTTTTTTTAAAAAAATCATTTGTTTTGACATCAATCTCAGCAGGCATTTTAGAATTTCTTGACATTTTAGGGGTAGAATTTTTTTAAATATAAATACTTTCTATTTAAATTTTATAGGTTAATGCATAAATAAGTAATCAATCAAATAAATTAAAAAAAGTAAGCATAAAATGCACAGTAAATTATAAAAAATTATTTCAAAGTAAAAAAAGACCAATTTAATTTATGTTATTTTTATTATTTTATCAAATAATATTCTTTTAAAACAAATTTATATAACTGTGATATATTTCAATTTTATTTTATTTTTCATGGTGGTAAACAATTAATAACAGTATAAAGTAAATAATAAAAAAGAAAGATTTTATATTCAATTTATTTCTGATTATATTTCACTTGAATATAATTTTATTCTAAAAAAGGAATAATACAAGGTGAATCTTTTTCATTTTGATAAATGTTTTTTATCCTACAATTATATTCATTATTAAGTTTGTTTATGAAAAACAACAAACTGAAATAACATTTACTAAATAAAAATCCAGAAATAATAAAGTATATTAGATATGTAGATCTAGAATATTTAAAAATGTCTAAATTTATAATATAAAGAATTGTACAACTTACCATACACAAAGAAAAAAATGTATTAAAAATATAAAAATTAAAAAGCTGCATATAAGAAATAAAACTTAAAAAATATTCTATTATAAAAATAATAAATAAATACAAGATATCTGAGAGATTTAAAAAAGAATCATCGGTAAATAAGAACATAAGACTTGACAAAGATATTATAAATAATAATGAATAACTACACTTTGTACAGATACAAAGTGTAAAAGTAGATCCTAGTGTAAAGTATAATAGATGGGAAAAATCTGGAAATTTCATTTTTAAGGGTAAAAAAGAACATATCCAACATGTAAAGAGATACATTTTGTCTTATAAGATCAAAAATATTTTATGTTCAATATACTTACAACTATGAAATTAAAAAAAAATAAGGATTTAATCGGCTTTTTATAGTACATAAAAGTTTACTCTCAAAACTATTATAACTTTAAGTAAAATTTACAAAAAAATTATTTATTAAAATAAAAGTAGACTAGTGCAAATATAATTCAAAAACGATAAATTTATGCAAAAATAATATTGTAAAAACGTGTATTAAAATTTACCACAATAAATATGGGCCTATTTTCTACTTCTGAATTTATTGCCCCCTCCAAACTTTTTTGTATAACTTTTCCTATCTCCTCTAAATTTCTTATCACTCTGCTTTCTAAATCCATTATTTTTACTGTCCTTACGTTCTTCTCTATTTTTACATACAGTTTCTTTTCTTTTGATTTTTTTATCTTCTGCCTCCTTTTTCTTTTCTGTCTCAGACCTTTCTAAAAATCTATTCTTTGGAATAAGCTTGTTGCTGTATATAAAAAATTCATTCGACTCCTTTTCTAACGAAATCGCAATATAAACATCTGTCTGTGGTCCAAAAATCTCCTCAACTTTCCCTATTTGTTTTTTATTTTTATCAAAAACAAAAGCATTAGGAAATGGTATTCCATCTGTAACTAGTTTCAGTACAAAAAGTTGGCCACATTTATGGATAAAAGTTCCTAGATTAACCAGTGTTGCATTTGCATCAGTTTGTCTTCGATCTCTAAAATTTTTTTTCATAATAAAATTATGGGTTAAATAAAGACTTATTATTTAATAGTCCACAATCTGCAATTGATTTATTTTTATTAAATAAAGCCTTATAAACAGTTGTTAACTTATGACAGGAGACCAAAGATATTTTTACTATTTAAAATACAAAAAAATATTGGTTAATATATTTTAATATTCTTCATAATAAATTTATAGTTATTCTTATTTTATTTAAATTTCTTATTTTTTACAGGCCATGCATATTCAGAAAATAGAAATTGAAAATTTCAAAAGTTTTAAATCTTTCACTTCAATTGACCTATCACCCAAATTTACAATAATCATAGGCAAAAATGGAAGTGGTAAAAGTAATATTATCCATGCCATTCGTACTGTTATATGCTGCGAAAAATTAAGTAGAGAGGATAGACTTGATCTAATACACGAAAATTTATTCGAAGATACAACTTCTATATCTCTGTTTATTGATAATTCTGATAAAAGACTTGACAGCCAAAAGAATATAGTAATTAAAAGGTGTATAAATGCAGAGAAAGATGAATATTTTTTAAATGAAAAATTAATTAGCAGAAAAGATTTAAAAGGATTTTTAGAAAATGGTGGGATATCATCCTCATCTTATTTTATTGTTCAACAAGGTAAAATTGGAGAATTAATAAATATGACAGATAAGAGCAGGTACGAATTAATTAAAAGCATTTCTGGTGCACAAAAATATGAAGTAGAACGAGACAATTGTCTAAAAATGCTTAATGATGCAGAAATAACAAAACAAAAATATATTAATAACTTAAGAATTATTGATGATAAATTAAAAAATTTAGAAAGTGATAAAACTAAAATGGAAATTTGTACTAGACTTGAAAAAGAAAAACGTAGATATGAAATAGCTTATTTACAAAAAGAGCTTATTCAAATTAATAATAAATTAGAGGAAACAGAACATATTGCAGACAATTTTACTGATTCGTATGAAGATGTGGAATATGAATTAAAAAAAATTAGTGACAAAATAAATGAACTTGAATATGGAAAAATGCAAGTAGAAATATATTTTAGTAGAGAAACTGAGAATTTAGAGAATATTAATTTGTCAAGTAAAGTTAATATAAATCCTGATTTACATTCTATAACTAACAGACTAAAAGAAATTTGCTTATGTATAGAAAAAACTTCTAAGCAAATATCTGAACAAGAAGAAAGTTTTAAGAAGTACAAAAATGAAGAAAGAGAAGTTTTTATTGAAAAAATCTTTTTAAAAAATGTAATAAGTTTTTTAAAAGAATATGATACCAGCAAAACTGAGGATATTGAACATATAAAAGAATTATTGAAAGAAAAAAAAAGATTTATAGCAGAAAACAGAACTACGAAAAATATATTTAACTTTAAAACTTTAAATAAAATGATAGAAAAACGTAAGGAATTGTGGAGAGAAGAAAAAAAATTAATACAAGACGAGAAGAATTTGATAGATTGTGTACAAAGCAATGAAAATAAACTTATATCATCGGGACATTTTTCTTACAAAGTATACAAAGATATAAAAAATGAGGAGGGTGTTGTTGGTTGTATTTTTGATCTTTTTGACATTCCTGACGATTTACTAAGTGCTTTTGAAGCAGTGGCTGGCGGATTTTTATTTAATATTGTTGTGCTAGATAATAACCTAATACCTAATTTACTAAAGAAAGTTAATGGATCTGTAACATTTATACCTTTAAATAAAATGACATATGAAGAAGCAATGGAAATAGAAGAAAAAGGTATTTATTTACTTAGCAGTAAAATAAAATGTAGAAATACAGAATATACTAAAGAAATGTCTGCTTTGCTATCTTTTATAACTAGAAATTCGTATGTAGTACAAGATTTAAGAACTGGAGAAATGTATTCTTCAAAATATAATATTAATATTGTTACACCTGAAGGAGATCTTATAAGAAAAAGCGGTGTAATTACAGGTGGATACGATTCTAAAAGTTCAACAATCAAAGAATATAAAAAAATTATAAACAAAAAAAATGAAAATAAAAATAAACTAGAACATTTACGAAGTAAAATATCAAAAATCAGTCTAGAGATCGAAACAGTAGAACAGATTCAAAAACAAAATGACGGGTCTTTTGGTGAAATTGACTTATTAATTTCTATTACAAAATTTTTAGAAGAGAAAATTGAGATTTTAAAAGGCAAAGGACATAAACTAAAATATTATGAAAATAAATTAGAAAATATTTTATACAAGTCTCTAGGACTAAGAAGTGCAATTATAAAATTAGAAAGTGATTTAGATGATTTAAAAAAAGAGTTAGAAGATTTTAATAGTGAAAAAGTTAAATCGAAAAATTTCTTAGAAATTCTTACTAAATACAAGGATATTGATAAATTAAAAAAGAAAGAAAAAGAATTAAAAGCCAATTTTACAAATAAAAATGTAAAAAATGAAGCTTTAATTTTACGAAAGCAGCATCTTCTTGACAAGATAGGAGTAAATACAGAAATATTATTCCCAGAATTATCAGAAGAGCAGATAGCAAATAATTTAAAAAATATAAATGAAGAGTTAAAAAAATACGTATTTTTAAATAAACGTAATTTAGATCAATGGAATATTTTCTTAGAACAGAAAAATGATTTAATAAAAAGACAATCGGAGTTACTAGAGAATTATGATACTATAATTAAATTTATAAAAAATTTAGATGAAAAAAAAGAGGAAAAAATGAATTTAACATTTGAAAGTGTAAAAGAAAATTTTGATTTTTTTAGTAAAAAATTATGCAACTTTGATGTGTGTTTACTAGCAGAAAATTCAAAGTTGTCTATAAATGTTCCTGAAGGAGATAATAAAACGTTAAGTGGTGGACAGAAAACAATGGTTTCTATTGCATTAATTTTAAGTATTCAAAAAGTTGATCCGTCTCCTTTTTATATATTTGATGAAATAGATGCTAATTTGGATCAAGAAGGTAGATTAAGATTATCTAATTTATTTAGTTCTATTAAAGATGTTCAATTTATTATTACAACTTTTCGTGAAGAATTATTAAATGTGGGAGATCATTTTGTAGGTGTAAGTTTTAGTGAGAAAAAAAGCTATGCGAGTAAAGTGGAGAAAGATGTTGCACATAATTTTTTATTAGAGACATAATAAAAGTTTTATTAATAATATAGCATAAATATTGTTTACAATATTTGTGTTTTTTATATTAAATATTTTTAAAAATTTATTGATGACGTTGTAATTGTTAATTCACTTTAATCAAACATAAAATTAAGGTTAAAATAATAATAATTTTTTTTGTAAAAATGATAAAAATCAAAGAACCTTACATTATGTAAAAAAGAGAAATGACAGTCATATTTATTCTACATCATTAATATTTATTATTCTACATCATCAACGTTTATTATTTGCACATCATAATAAATTTTATTATATTTTCTACAAAGAATTATTAAATTAAATTTTTTTACTTCAAATTCCTTTAATTTATCTTTATTCATCACAAATGACACTATGTATTCACTTTTATATGTTTTAATAAAAAATGCATATTTTGATAATTTAGTGATTTCTTTAATATCTTCTACATTTATGTTAACTTTATTATCTAGTAAATATTTTTTGCAAAGATCATTGTATGGATTTTCAATATTAGATCTTAAATATTTATCAAGTTCAAATGTATTATGCATAAAAAAAGGGTAAATTATAAAACAGCATTTATTCTTTGTAATCGTACCCACTAAGAAAATAATCTTTATTAGGCACTTTAATCAAATTTTCAGAAGAATCAGATGTACTCAATGGTTTGGAGTTAACAGTATTAGCAATCTCCATCAAATAGTGCCTAGGTGGTGGTGGAACAAAATGCTTACCCACTTTTGTTTGTAAAGCCAGTTTAACATCACTTACTGATATAGATGATCTACCACAGTGTTCAGAATAAAGACGAGCATCTTTTACTACATCTGTGGCATATTTATAAGCAAATTCTAATAATTGAACTATGACTTTCGGTTCACATTCTTCAATGCCAAGAGATCTGAGAATTATAGAAATTACTTTTGCATCACGCGGTGCAAGATTTTCATTTGATCCCATAAAATGAGGGGTAGTATTTTGTAAAAATATTTATTAATTACATTTCATATTTACTTTATTTTATTTAGATTTGTATAATTTTTTGATATGAAATGTAAACGATCTAATTTTTTTATTCAATGATATTGATAATTTACATAAGTTACTTACGTAACCAAATAATAAAAATATTATCATTTTTAGATTAAAACAAATGTTTATAAAAAAATAATATTTAACTACTTTTTGATAATTTGATTACTAAATCAAAATATATTTTCTATCTCCTTCCATAAATTATCATTAAGTAATATTCTCATGTGATCTGTCTGTAATATTTTAAAATAACAATTAAACTTTTTTTGAATTTCTTCAGAATGAGAAGGTTTAATTAAAGGATCATATTCTCCATGAAAAAGATACAAATTACCTGTAAAATATTCTAAATTATTTATAGTGTCAAAATTAAATGTATAAAGTATTTCTTTCCAAACTGCAGGTAATATATATTTTAATACAGATGTTATTTTAAATTCACTAATAAGTTTTATAAATGAAGTAAACGGAGAAATTAATATTAAAGTTGTGGGTTTATAAGCATCATTTAAAAAATATCTATTTTTATGCATAAACTTGATAAATTCTGCTGAAATGGCTGTTCCAAATGAAAATCCTATTATGGATATATTTACAGCACTATATTTTTCTATAAAAAAATCAAAACAAGCTTTAACATCTAAAGAAACTTTATCTTTTTCAAAGGTGCCTTCAGAATCTCCAAAATCCCTGTAGTCAGGAATTAATAACATAAAGTTATTTTTAGATAAAAACTTTATGTCTCCTATTTCAGAAATATCATCTCTATTTGTAGCAGATCCATGTAAAAAAATAACATATTTTGTTTGTTTATCAACAAATTCTGGTTCAAAAAGTGCTGCTCCAATTTTAATATTATCATCTGTAATTAATGTAAGATTTTTATAAGAAGAATTAAAAAAATATGATGCAGGTTGTTTAGTTCTAATATTTGATAAAATCATACTTTTTAAAATGCAACTAATTTTAGAGTTATTCTTTATCAAATTATCTTGATTGTTAATTTCTTCAGCTTTAGAATGTGATTTGGTTGTAAAAAGGTTTCTTAGATTTAATCTTATTTTTAAAATAAGATTTTTAAGCATCTCTCCTCTTATTTTTTTATTTTTAAAAAACATTTAGGGATAAATCCCCATGAAAACAGAAAATAATGAGGATACAAAAAACAGAGATAAAAATCTTAATTTAATAGGTGATTGTATAGAAACAGTTTATAAAACCATAAACATGTCAAATAAACACTTGCCTATAAATGACTTAAAAAGGATTATAGACAATAAAACAAAACCAGAAGAATTTGAAATAGTAAAAACAATAGCAAAAGGAGGATACGGGGAAGTATTTCTGGTTCGTAAAGATAAAATTTATGCCATGAAACGTGTTTCTAAAGATGTTATATTAAAACAACCCAATACAGCACTTTTTATGGCAGAAAAAGCCCTTCTTGTAGATTCTATAGGGTCTGAATGGCTTGTATCTGCTGAAATGACTCTGCAAGATGATGATTATTTATATTATCTTATGGATTTTATTCCTGGTGGTGATTTTATGGGACTGTTAAGTAAAGAAGATGTGCTTGAAGAAGAATGGGTAAGATTTTATGTAGTAGAACTTGTAGCAGCACTAGATGAACTTCATAAGTTGGGATGGATACATAGGGATTTGAAACCTGATAATATTTTAATAGGAAAAGATGGACATATAAAATTGGCTGATTTTGGAAGTAGCATAAAGATGGTAGATGGAAAGGCTAGATCATCCTTTGTAGTTGGAACACCTGATTACGTATCACCTGACATTCTAGAAAGTGGTAATTTAGAAAATGATTATTCAGAGGATATAGATTTCTGGACATTGGGTGTAATTATCTATGAGATGTTATTTGGTGCTACACCTTTTTATTCCCTTACTTTAGTTGAGACTTATAGAAAAATTACAGATGTTTCTTACACCTTTCCATTTAAAATATCAGAAGATATAAAAGATTTAATTACAAAATTAATGTGTAAAAAAGATAAAAGAATAGGAATTAAAGAAATAAAAGGTCATGTATTTTTTAAAGATGTAGATTGGAATAATGTAAAAGGCATGGTACCACCTTTTATACCGGAAATTAATAATGAACTTGATACTTCAAATTTTATTGATACTTATTTTGAGGCGGATAACAAAAAATTAGAAAAAATTAATTATATTGATTTTGTAGGATTTACTTTTGATCCGAAAATGAGTGATGCAGTAGAAAAAACAATACAAAATAGCGGATTATCTGAAAAAGATAATTGTGTATTTGTAAAACATAACGAATTATCTGAGAAAAATAATGGATCATATGAAAAAAATAACGAATTATCTGAGAAAAATAACAATATAATAAATAAAAGTAACGAATTTTCTGAAAAAGATGTATTTGTTGAAACTATTGAAGTAAAAAAAAGAGAATTAAAAAATATAGAAATACAAATTAAAGATGTTAATAAACAATATTCTGATAAAATATCAGAATACAAAAATTTAATGAGTAAAGTTATTTCAGAAAGAGAAGAATTTTATAGCATTGAAAATGAATTACAAGTTAAAAGAGAAGAATTAGACATGTTAGATAAAGAAATTAAAGAAAGAAAAAGTTCTTTGGAAGAATATTTTAAAAATATAAAAATTACTGAAGATAACAATTTTAAAATTAAATTTCAGGAAAACAGTTTTGATTTTAGTAAATTAAATTTACACATAAATGATATTAAGACACAATATATTTTGTGTACAAATCAATATAAAAATATAGAGGTAAATTATAATAATCTTAAGAATTATATAAAAAATTTAAGAGACGAAAATATAAAATTTAAAAAAATGGGTGTTGACAATTTAAAAAGACAACTGCGTATTTTAACTACAGAAGTAAAAGAATATCAGCAAAAATGTGAACAAGAAGTTTTTATGAGAAAACAATTAGAAGAAGAATTAAAAAGTATTAAAGCTAAAAAAATTGATACTAAACCTATTTCATATAATCATGAATTTGTTTGTTCTTTAATTAAAGATAATCAAAAGATCTCTTCTATAATAAGTATTGTTAATGAATTATTTTATTTAAATGACAGATCATGTTATATTGGTAATGTTTATGTACAAGAACTAAAAAATAATGAATTGTATCATGAATCATACAAAAATAGATCTTTAATACTTAAATTAATTTTTATTAAAGAATCAGTAAAATCAATAAGTTCGTCAGGAAGAAGAAGTCTTAAATCTTTAGAAGAAGATTATAAAGTTGAGCTTAGCATGAAAGTAGGTCTAGAAAACATGATGCCTTTGTTACAAGGTAAGCAACTTGACGAAGCTAGACTTCAGTACGAAGGAACTCTTAAGAAAATATCTCAATTAGAAAGAGAAATAGATATAGCACGAAAAGACACACTTTCTCAACAAGAGGTAGAAGATCCAGATCCTATAAAATTATATGAATTTAATAATCATCTTTTTTCTACTAAGACCTTTCCTCCTGGTACATTGTGTGAGCATTGTAATGAAGTGTTGTACGGTGTTTGTGATCAAGGATTTGAATGTAAAGATTGTAAAATGGTTGTACATAAAGCGTGTTATATTTTAGGGAATGTATCTTGTGAGACATATAATGCTTTTAAGAAAGGAGATTGTTATTATGTTTTAATGCGTAGTATAGAAGAAAAGGAAAGGTTATTAGATGTATATAAAAAATATTAAATAATACTCTTTTTATTTTGTCTACTGTAATTTAATATATTTTTTATTTCTAAATCTAAAAATTCTTGTAAAGAAATATTCTTTTTTTCTTGTATCCATTTATCACCCTGTAAATTAAATCTAGAAGGGCCTGTTATAGGAGAAGATCCCCATAGTTGATAAGACACAGGTTGTCTATTAAATAAATATTCCCCCAAATCTTTAATGTTAACACTTAAAGATCCTTCTTGTTCAGTAATATTATCAGATAAAGGTTCCATTTTATCTAGAATGTAATTAAATCCCCTGTCAATCATCTCATTGTATACTTTTTTTATGTTTGTCATCTTTTAGGGATATTTTTTATAATTGTGTTTTATTTATTCTTGTTTGTACTTATTCCTGTTTGTTCTTATCTTTTATTTATTCCTGTTTGTATTTATTTTTTAAATTTTATCTATTCCTGTTTGTATTTATTTTTTAAATTTATTTATCTTTAATATTCGCACCGTATTCAATTTACACTTACATTTTATTTATCTTTAATACTTAAATTTTAATACTTTACTGTATTTTATATTCTAATATTTATCAATAATAATATTATTATGTTCTAATTATATTTATATATTCTTATGTGATATTTTCCATGTAATGAATATGCCACTACTAAATAATTACTCAATACTTCCACTTTTATAAATTTATCTGCTTCTAAGATTGTTCTAATGTATAGTCCTGTATTATAATCATAAACCTTTAACTCCTTCTGTGTAGTAATGAACAAAAGATCATTGTATACAAAATGTGAAGAAATAAAATAATTCTCATAAATGGAGTATATTTTTGTATTATCAACTATATCCCATTTACAAAGTGCATTATCTGCAGCAGAGCTTACAAGATACCTCTCATTATCTGTAAAACTTAATCCTATTACTAGAAATTGATGTTCTTTATATCTACCTATTAATTTATTATCAAGAGTAGAAATGTGAATGTAAGCATCACATCCTGAACTAACAATATACCTATCACCAAGTAAAACACAATACACTCTCGATTTATGAGATTTTAAATTAAATATCTTTTTACCTTTTTTATAGTCCCATAAGATAACACTACCATCATAAGACCCACTTAGTAAATATTTATTATTAATATCAAGACATCTAACATTATTTGTATGTCCTATTAGAACATGTAGACATTCTCCTATAAGATTCCACACCCTAATAATATTATCTCTTCCACCAGTGCAAATAAAATCACCTTTTATTTTTACAACTCTTACAGTTGACAAGTGGCCTTTAAGTCTGTGTAATGGTATACCAGATTCTAGATCCCAAATAATAGCAGTTTTATCGGTACTTCCAGTGACAAGATGTCTATCAATAGAAAAACTCCATACACCTCCTTTGTGCCCAATAAAAGATTTTAACAAGACACCAGAAAAATTATATTTTTTTATTGATGCATCATCAGAAGATGTATAGATATAATTATTATGTATCATCATAACTGTTATGTCTTTCTGATTTGTATGAAATGTAGTGTATGTTTCTCCTTTTCCTGTTTTAATCCTTTTTTGTACTAAATACTTCTTCTTAATTGCTTCTCTACAGTCATTTATGCTGCATAATTTTGTGTTGCACAATAATTGCCATAAACTTAAATCTTTATGTATGTGTGCGGAAATGCATGAAGAAGACTTTGTTAGGTTTTTGAGAGATTTTAAGTCTAAATTTTTTAGTACTAAATTTAAATTATCTGTATTGAGTTTGTAAATATCTATAAATGAATACTTTGAATTTTTCATCGTTTTGTATTTTGGGGGTAAAAAAGATAACTGCATGAATGTGCATAAATAAACAAATGGAAATACAAGACAAATTTATATAAAAAAGATAACTGCATGAATGTGCATAAATATACAAATGGAAATATAAGACAAATTTATGTAAAAAAGATAACTGCATGAATGTGCATAAATATACAAATGGAAATATAAGACAAATTTATAATTTTTATAAATCTTATTTATTAACTTTCGATCAATTTATTTGAATACTTGAAGTAAATATTAATTTAAAAAAGGACTATATTATAATTAACTATTTATTGTAAGCTAAGTTGCTAATTAATTTTAAAAAAAGTAAACATTCTATTGTTAAAATACTAACAATGTAGTGTTTCGTTCTTTTCTAAGGAAACTTCTATTTAGAATAAGTTTTTTTAAATTTATATTATTACAATTAAGAAAAAGTAAATATCTTTAATAACTCAAAGTTTTTAAATTTTATTTATTTCTGCTTTGTAATTAACAAAATTAATTATTTTTAGTATAAAAAGTTTTGGCTTGAATAATTAATAAATATTTACTTAATTGTTGTAGGTTAAACTTAAATTAAATTTTTATTAAAATTTATTTCTAAAAAATAATTTTATGTGAATTTTAAAATATTACAAGTAGTTACTTTAAAGGTGTAAACCCATTTTATTTAAAAATTTCTACAACCACTTTCAAGGCAAATGCAACAGTTACAATTATCAAGCACCATATAACAACCTTAGTTAAAAGCCAGAATGAAGGAATAACAAAAAGAAGGAAGAAAAGTAGTAAAATGATAACACCAATCCAGAAATAAAAAAGATTTTCATATTTACTCTTTCTATCTGGTTTAATGAGTAATGTAACGGTATCTGCTCTGAACTCTTTTGTAAATTTGTTAGGTTCAATAATTTGTAGTCTATATTTATTATCCAATACGAATAAAGAATCTGAATTAGTTAAAAATTTATAGTCAACAGTACCATCTGCCTCTACAAGGTCAGACAAAACAGTAGTATCATCTGTCATATGACGATTTAGAACTAAATTATGTGAATTAGCACCAACTAAAAGTCTATTTTTATAAGTTCTACTGTTACAAAAAATTATTTTAGTATTTTTTGTATACAAAAAAGTAATCGTTAAAATGCCTTCTGCCACACTAAAATTTTTAGGATCTAAATTTTCTAAATTTATTGTAAAGTCATTTTCGATGTATTCGAATGAAATTTGACAGTTATCATTGGGTGTAGCGGTAAATGAGAAAAGTGTTTGATCTGTTTCTTTAAATATAATCTTAATGTTTCTATTAACATCTAAAGTTGTCTTATTACCACTTAAATGTACTGTAAGTTGACTTTCTAAATTATTAATTTCAATATAAGAAGAGTTCATTTTGATTTTTTAAAACAAAAAAAAAATATATTTTGTTTCAAATTTAAAGAGAAACATTGTATTTAAAGTGTATCACGGAAAAATCATGAATTTTAAAAAAAATTACAAGCGCACGATTTTTACGCAATCAGTATTCTTATTATTTTTTATACGTTAGCTGTGATGTTTATACTTCAATAAAAATTTACTGTTAACAAAAAACATAAGAATAGTACAATGTGCTTACTTTTTAGTCAACAATCAAAAACGGATCTTTTGGATTTTTGTTTTGATTAATCCACAATATTTTAGTGTGTTAGAATAATGTGATAAGATATACGATTGGTTACAAAAAAATGTAATCATTCCACTTTATCAAAATATTCAAGAAATGTCTAAATATTTATAATGCTAACTTTTTTGCAATTTTGTGTTATTTTCAATTTATAAAAAGTATATTATAAAGTTAATTACTTTTTTAATATAATTTTACAGTAAACAAGGTAGCAATCAAAAAATCCTAACATAAATAACTTCAGCTGTTATTATTTTAAAATGTAAAATAGTACATTTATTTAATATAATTTATTTACTTAAACGAACACATATTTACTCGTTTTATATCTCTTTAATTAACTATCATAAATTTTAATAGCATAACAGACTACCACAACAAATAATATTAGTGTCAAACAAAAAGCTCCTCCAGAAATACAAACCACATATTTGTAAAAGTCTTCGCTACTTTTAGATTGTACTTCTTGATGATCATTAGATAGTATTTCTCTGTCATCTTCATGTAGTTCAAGACAAACAATCTCTTCAAGTGTATCATTTTCAATATTAGAGTTCTTTTTATTTTTATCAGCACCAACTACCAACTCTCTTTCTGATTGTTGTAAAGCAGTATAATTATGAAGCTCTATTGTTCCAATTATTTTATTCCCTAATAAAATAGAATTTAAAGCGACATAAAAAAATAGATTAACCATTTATTGGGTAGAAAATTTAGCTGTAAATAAACAAAATTTTTAATTGAAAAACAAAAATGTTTTAGTAAAAATTTTCTGTGAAAACCTTTGATTTTAATCAATGATTTTAGAAATTGTTGATAAAAAAAGTTTAATTAAAAAACGAAAAAAATAGTCATTAAATTATGTTTTATAAATCTGACACTCATTAAAATAAAATTTTATAAACAGACTTATAATAAGAAGAAATAATAAAATTATTTAGTTGTGTAAGAAAGGTTTATTAAAAATTGAGGCTAAAAATAGCTTTACTAGGAGGGTTTTACAGGGGGCAAAAAATTTATTTTTAGCCCTTCTTTTTTAATTTTTATTGCAGAAAATAATCTGTAAGAAGACATAAATTAAAAAAATGACAAACATAATTTAATTAATATTTTATTAAGAATTTTGGTGGTAATTTAGCTTTGTTTCTAATAATCATGATTCTAGAAAGAAATAAATGAGCAATTCTTTCTATTTTACACCTATTAGGTATAGAAGTTTTTAATAAACGCCAGTTTCCCTCTATTGTGTTAGTATGAACACCTGTTTCTTGGTCTCTAAAAGTTACTTAATGATTTACCATGAAGTGTTTTTTAAAATGTAACCTTTAATTAAAAAAGCTTTCCACATATCTGAGTATATTGTGAATTTAATATTAGCGTGTTTAAATAAAAAAAATTAAGATCTGCCTGCCACGTTTTTTAATAAGAATGAAAATTGTTTTTTTATCGGTGGTACGTTCTACCATTCCAAAACACCAAAACCCTTTTACAGGCTTTCCCCTGTTATATTCATTCTTTCCTATTTTTGATTCATCGATTTCTTCAACAATGTTGTTTCCTCAAAAATTTGTTTTACGTCTTTAAAATAACGCTCATAAGTATTAAAGATCTGTAGTTTATTTATGGTATTGACTATATTTTGTTTACTGCAGCCTAATATGTGCGCCATTAGACCACAAGAAGCACCTGTAAACCATAATTTAATTACTTTAAGCAATAAAATATTGTCAAGGCTGCGTGTTTGAAAAAAGTGCTTTTCCAGATAATAAATAACAATCTGCATCCTTTCCATTTGCATCGCAAAAAAAGCCATCGGGGCATTCTATTCGAGTATTAGATGAACAACAAGGACATTTTTGCCTTTGTTTTGACAGTTTAACATTAAAATACAAATTTTGTATTTCTTCGTTTGTCATCAAAATTCTTCTCATTTTTAAAAAAGTGCTAAAAATAATTTTTTTTGCCGCCTAAAATCTGCCTAGTAAAGCTATTTTTAGCCAAAATTGGATTTATTTCGCAGAAATGTTTTAATATAAGAAGCTAAATATAAATATATTTCTACGGTACAAGCAACTCTTTCTTTTACTACTGTAATTTTTTTTAAATTATGTTAAAAGATTCCATTTGCTGACATTATCTCATGTGGTATAAATATTTGTATTAATTAATAAACAATACATCTAAATTAATAAAAAAGAATTTTAAGTTTGTATTAAACTGCATGTTTTTTTTACTGCACAAGTTATTAACCTATATTTTTAAAAATTTATAAATTTGAAAAATAATATTTTAACAATACAGGCAGGTAAGCGTCCGGAACTAAGGTATTTCTCCGTCTAGGACTCTCCTGTAATCAAAGTCTTGTGGCTTGAAGGGAGTGTTGATTTTTTAGTGCTGTTACGGCGACGGACCTTGTACTCCGAACCATTTAGACTGTTGAAAGAAGAAAGGTTTGAACTAAACATATTTAATTTAAATATTTTCCTTTCATAGCTTTAGTAACCAAAGGACGTATTATAATGATATGTCTGGGCTAAAATCCTATAATATTTTAGATATTGTTAATATATTGGTATTTTACCGAAACGCTCTTACTTATTGGTCCACGTTGTAATTAATACCACAAATATGATTCCTA